AAATCTTATATGCTTTTGTTCATACTGGTTGTACTCTTAGGTTTTGATTCAATGTCGCTGAACTCTATAATGTGTCATATTGAATAAATTTATTTAGAGACTTCTTGAACTAGAGAGAACTAAATACACAACATAATAACTACTAGTAAGCCAGTTCCTGTTAGAGAAATGAAATACAACATATGGTATAAACATTTGAATATGCCAGAGTCGTGCACAAATAAGTATATGAGCTTGAGTGACAAGGATTGGACATAGCGTGTCTGGGAGAATCTGCATCGAGTATCACCTATATACATAATATACTCCAAAATTTTGGTTAATATTATAGTTTCAGGAATTGGAAGTGGGACATGAGTATGAGGTAACAAACTTGAGGCATCAAGTGCCATACAAATGATGCTTACTTCCTGAAAGTCCATAGCATAATCTTGTAGGATCCAGTGATTCAAGATTCTTGCAGTTCTTTCCCATTTGATTTATACCTACTTCTATTTTTTTGACAATCAACATCCACATTGGTGTTCAAATTTTTGTGATGTCCCTCCAAATTTCTGCATTTCATTTTCAGAAATGGCAAAGACAATATGCTCATCATTCCAAGTGCCAGTCAGGGCAGGAAGAGTTTAGAATTGCAGAAACGTCTAGGAGCATGCTCACACGATGACTAGGACATGCTTGCTTCCCCTCTCTTTATAAAAAATAAATATGCTAGGGACATGTCTTATAACTCCATAAGCACAGTATTGTTTTCTATCCATGTTTACTTTTCATCTTATTCTTTCTTTTCCATCTTTTATGAATTGTGCTTCTGGTACTCTGTTTGCTTCATTGTCATGATCAGCACAAGTTTGTTTTCTGGTACACTCGCCGGACACCTGGGGTTCGAACTCAAACATCGTACGAGGATAATATAAAGAAAATTGTTGATTTTAGCACTGTAAGTCAACTTATTTCTGGCCATTTTGTTTATTTGTTAATTTGACTGCCTTATCACTGTATTTTACTTTCGCCATGCATAGGTTGAAGGTTTTTGGGTTTGCTACTGCCACTTGGCTCGTCCATCAACATTGCCAAGCCCAACTGATTTGCATCTTTTCAAGGAGGGTATTCGTCCATTATGGGAGGTAAGGTTTGGTGCTCATGCTAATTATTGCATTGTTTTGTTCTCAATTTCTTTAAAAGTCTTTAACTATGTATATCTCTTACCCAAGTTAATTTCCTGATTATATTTGTTTATGAAGGATGCTGCTAACTGCAATGGTGGAAAGTGGATAATTCGTTTTAAAAAAGCTGTCTCAGGACGTTTTTGGGAGGACCTGGTAAGCCAGCTGTCTCAGTGATTCTTGGTTCTGTCAAGTGTCAACTTAACTAAACTTTATGGCTATCCCGTTTAATGCTGAAACAAAATCTTAACTGAATTTGCGGGTAGCCATGACAAAATTAAGTTCGTTATCTTAAGCAGTTGGAGATCTTTTTGATTGTTTAAAATAGAGGAAATTTCTAGTCCGTTTATGCAAAGATTGTTGAGATGCCCAAGCTCATATAGATTTCCTGCCTTACATGAGCGCGAGAAGCTAACAAGAGAGAGAATGAGGGATAGCATAGTGAAAAGGACCCTTCATTCGCAACCATGACGGAGGAGGGGGTTTTGCTGGGTNAGAAAAAAAAAGGAGTGAGGAGCAGTGCACTAGAAGCTGAAGTGACATTTCTAACCAGCCCTTAACATCATTATGGGGGTGGGGGGAGGGAGTATGAAAGGCCACTTCTGATCCATGTGAGGGTTAAAGGAGAAGGATCTACCATATCAAAAGAAGAAAAAAAAGGAACGAGGAGCAGTGCACCAGAAACTGAAGTGACATTTCTAACCAGCCTTTAACATCATTATCCTCTAATCTGTTCCCCTAAAGGGTGTTTTGTTCCAATGATGTTCCTCATTTTTTGTCAATAATAACATAGCTGGCTTTCTCATACTGTTTTGGATTCAAAGTGTCTAACCAAAAAGTTGAGTCAGTTTGAAGATATTCTCATCTCTTAGTTTATACATTTGCTCCTTGTGAATTTACTTCTACCGATGTTGAAGGTAGGATTGAAGTTTTTGTGTTTGGATATTTAACGATCAACATTAATTTAGTCAATCAACTACTCCTCACTCCTGAATCAGTTTGGATTGGCACTAATTTGGTAAATTTCAGTTGACAAGTTGAGCACTAATTTGTATCTCTTTTAAGATGTTTCGTCACGCTATTCATATTTGTTTCCAAGCTTTCTGATAGGGGGAATTATTATACTTTCTAGATCATTATTCCCTTTTGGAGCATAAGAGGATGATATTAAGAGCGCATTCATCACTAGAGCAAATCTGAATGTTTTAACAAATTTTCTTTTCATCATCAAAAAAGTGAAATTGCTAAATTTGCATCAGCCAGATAAGGTCGATGTGGCTTCAAATGCAAATTTTAGCAACTATAGATGGATGGAAAAGATAGCGAGATGCTATTTTTTTCAATTAATATTTTATGGTGTGGTGCCCCAGGCCAAGACTAGTGCAACACCTAGGCGACACTTCAAGGCCCGAGTGTGAGTAGTAAGCCACTCTTATGACCTCCCTCCTAAAGAATCGACTTAATATCATGTGGATGGATTGCCCACGTATCAGTGATTGAGTCCTGCTATTTTGAATCATACTCATAACGTCAGGTTCACTGTTAAACCGGTAATGGTTGAATTTATTTGAACTTACAAAATTATCATGGATTTCTTGTATAGGTTCTGGCTTTGGTAGGTGATCAACTCGATTATGGTGACAACATATGCGGTGCAGTTTTAAGCATTCGTTTCAATGAGGACATATTGAGTGTATGGAATCGTAATGCATCAGATCAGCAGGTAAAGCTATATCTAACCCTTATTCCACACCCAATTAGTTCCTTGTTAAGCCAAAAAGTAAACATGCTCACATCACCTTGGTTTTTTCTAGGCTGTGATGGCATTGAGAGATGCAATCAAACGACACCTAAAGCTTCCTAATGGCTATGTCATGGAATACAAAGCCCATGATGCTTCCTTGCGTGACAACTCATCATACCGCAATACTTGGATAAGAGGATAAAAGTTGCTAGTTTCTTATTTTGCTGTTAAACCTTCAACTTAGTTGTTTGGTTGGTATTTGGCCAAGTGGTAGTCGTGACAAAAATGGTTAGTCGTGTAATGCAATCCAACAACCATGGGGAAATCTCCTCTGACTCTTTAATATCTATCACTTCTTAAAAGTGTATGCACTTAAACTCTACTGACAAATGAGTTATTCCCAGTTTTATGTTACCAGTTACCACAAGCATACAGTAGCAGTATTAGCTGTACATTGCTATTAGTACATTGCTATTAGTGCTTATGGTTGAATATTTCGAATATTACTTGTGCACGGGCTTGAAAGTAAGCCTTTAGTTGCTCATGCATGGTCTCCATATCATGCGCTCGACAATTTCATTTCAGTTGTATCTGCTTGTGCCTTCATGTTAGCATGTCTAGTATTTAGCTTCATCTGTATTTCCCACCTCCGTTTGCCAATCTCTTGCCAACTTTTAGAGATGGTGTTAAAGCTATTTACGGTAGAGATGAGCAGATAGGCAAATCCAAGACCAGAAACATTGTTAAACTAGTTGTTGTCCAAGGCCAATCCTTTTCACTATCTCGCATTAAGGCTTCTCTAGCAGTTATACACCTCTACGAAGAGATGCCATGGAATTGGCAGAAACCTTCTTGTATACATTGTGGAGGGCAGCATTCATGCTATTACAATGTGGATCGCAGCTGTCTTTTTTATGAGACGTCTTCCAAAGTATTGGATCAACTTCACTCCTGTGTGAGTTTGCTTACATTGCCGGTCCAAACTTGGATAAAGGAGAAAGGTATTAGTAGGCTGCTAGGTAATATAATACTAGCTAATTCATGATAACATAGTCATTGAGGATTTATATAGTTGATTCTTGGCTAATGGTCCTAATCACTCCCCTTCCTTGAAAAGAAAGAACAACTCAAATAGAATATGTGGTGAATTATGAGCCCGTTTGGATGGGCTTGTTGTAAGTGACTTTTAAGTGAAAAGCCATAAGTTAGGAATTTTACCTTTTGATTTTTGGTTTATTTTTGTCATTTTAGCTTAAAAATACTTTTTTATTTTATCCAAACACTACAAAATGGTTTAAAAGCTATTTTGGCTTAAAAGCACATAAAATAAGTCAATCCAAACGGGCTCTATATATTTACTTATTTTATCGGTAGGTGCATCTCTGCAAAAATTAGTAAAACGCAACCAGCTACACTCAACACTATGGTACGATTAATCATACTTTTAGTGCATAGTTTCGTTCTAGTTTCTGTTTAATTAACCTTTTGTGAGCTTCACTAAAATTTAAAACCCAGCGGTCACTCCCAGTGATTTCTAATATTAATGTGACGTGAGAAGGGAGCCTTCATATTACTTGTAAATTTTATTGCAGGAAACATATCAATAAATCAGAGTGGCGCAGCGGAAGCGTGGTGGGCCCATAACCCACAGGTCCCAGGATCGAAACCTGGCTCTGATAGATTTTGTGAAAAGAGAAGCTTCCACGTCCCTTTACTTTTTTCTGAACCTATTCCCAAGAATACTGTCTTTCCTCCTCTTTTTATAATACTTTATTTATTTATTCTGTATGTAATTCTCGTAAGCCAAATTTTAATCTCTATTATTAGTGTTCATACGCCATAGTTAGTCATTCTCGTCCTTGTAATTTGCAACATACATTCTGGATATTAACACAACATTTTTTATTCAAAAACGATTGCTTGCACCAATATCAAGAACTGCTCCTATTTTGCTCAATCTATGACTGCCAAAGTAAGAAACGGAGAAGGGTACTCTCTCTCTCAATTTCAGAGGGAAGAGAGTCCCAGAACGAAAATAAAATAAAATAGGAAGGCAAAAGATAATGGTAATTAGACTCTTTGAAACATTACTAATAATTTGAAAGGGGATGATCCCAAAGAGACTCATAATGATCATGGACACTTTCCATGTAATCTCGAACACCATTTACTGCATAAAGTGATGCTGATATCTGCCTTTCCACTTTCATAATCTCATATTCTGTTAACCCCATCTCAGCTGAAATCACATTCTTGGGAATATCCAACAATTCTTGTGCAAATTCAAAACCTTCTCCAAAACCCCATGATAACTCAGGCTGTAAAGATGAAAAATAAGAACTTGAGAAAGAAGAATATGCAGATGTGCCCATGTCAATATCAGGTATGTATGTGTTATGAAACAGTTGACTTTCTTCTTTGATTTCCTGATCGAATGAAAGTTGTGTGTGTGTATTCTCACTAGAAATTGAATCATCACAATTGCTAATTATTAGACTAGAACTACTGCTGATTTTCAAACTACTTTGAACAGTATAATCCAGGCATTTCTGTTTTGCAATTTTCTTGCTGTTGAGAAGATTTCTAATTCTGGAAGCAAGAGGAGAATCTTGAGAAACACGAGTAACAAAGTTTGTTCGAGTGTTTGATCCGCGAAGAAGAACAGCAGCTTGATCGTAAGCATGAGCAGCTTCCTCAGCAGTTTCATAAGTTCCAAGCCACATCCTTATTTCCTTTGTTGTGTCTTTAATCTCAGCTACCCATTTTCCTGAATGCCTTTGCCTTACACCTACAAAGTTGTTACGGCTTTTGCTTCTTCTTTTCCCCTTCAATTTGGCTAGTTTGTTCTTTGAATTTGCTTCTGTTTGCTGCCGTTTTTGGAAGTTAATTTCCATTGTAACAAATTTTTAGCAACAACGAATAATGAAAGGAGAAGCAAGTAGTAGGATTTTTTATGTTCTTAGTATTAGTTGTAGTGGAGAAAGTTGTTTACATGTTTTTGTTTCTGTTGTTGTTATTGTGGGCTATATATAATATGTGAAGGCATGAGATACCGATTAATTGAAAAGTTGTCCTCCGGTTTCATATTCCATTATTTTCTTGTATTTTTTCTGTTTCCCATCTGGTATCCAATGCCTGCAGTATTCGCTATTGGCTCCGACTAATTGGGATTAATATTTGTCCATTTGATGAATTCAATCAATTACCAGTTGGATCGAGAGATCGCGTGTGAGTCGAAGACGATGAGAAAAAGAAGCTGGAAATGAAACTTCACTGTTCCATTGAACAAAATGATATTCAACTGCAAACAACTAACCGACTAACAATTATTTATACTAACTAATATCTAACTCAATCATAGTTACTACTATGTACCCTAGTTAACCAACTATGATTAAATAACATACTAACTACCTCTAACTATTGCCATGTATCAGTACACTCCTCAACACCCCTCTCAAGCTAGGTCTAATGAAAATGTACTTTAGGCCTAGTTTGGATAGCAAATAATCATGTTGAAAACTACTCAACCCCTTGGTCAGAGGTCAGCAAGTTGATCCACAGATGGCAAATACACAATCTCTATCAGCCTATGTTGCACCTCTCACGAATAAAATGACAATCTATATCAATATGTTTAGTTCTCTCGTGAAAAATTGGGTTTGCAGTAATTTGCATAGCTGATTTACTATCGCAATAGAGTGGAATTGGCAGAGTGAGAGAGACACCCAATTTACTGAACAAACCAACTAACCACACAATTTCTGCCACTATTGAAGCTATGCTCTAGTACTCAGCTTCAGCTGAACTGCGAGAAATAGTGGTTTACTTCTTGGATTTCCAAGAGATGAGAGAATCACCAAGTGTAACCTTATAGCAAGTTACAGACCTCCTGGTGTTTGGGCAAGAGGCCCAATCAGCATCATAATATGCTTGCAACTTGGTAGAGCCTGTAAATGACATAAGAATCTCCAGACTTGAATTCTTCTTCAACTACCTGGTCACTCTTAATGCAACTTCCAAGTATGAAGTCTTGGGAGGATGCATGAACTGGCTCAAACATTACACTGCAAAAGAGATATTCAACCTAGTAATTGTCAAGTAAAGTAACCTACCAATTAATCTCTGGTAGGCTCCAGGATGTGCGAGCAAAGAATCATTGTCAACACCAAATTGGTGATCAAATTCAGTTGTGGTCAGCTTTTGATTCACCTCAACAGGAGCCCCTACAGGTTTTTTTCCTGCCAAACCAACATCAGAGATAAGTTCAAGGGAGCACTTCCTCTGATGTAATAAGATTCCTTCCTTATTCCTTGCAAACTCAATCCCTAGAGAATATTTTAGCTATCGCAAATATTTTATTTTGAAAATTTGATGATGTATGTCTTTAGTGCTAGATATGAGTGTAACATCATCTCCAGTGATGAGTAAGTCGTCCACATATACCAGAATGATGACTATTCTCCCATTGAGATGTTTGGTGAATAAATAATAATCAAGGTGACTTTATTTGAAACCCGATTGAAGAAGAGCAGTAGTCAACTTGATGTTCCACTGGCGTGAGGCCTGCTTAAGCCTATAAAGGGACTTGTGTAGTCGACAAACTTTTGCTTTACCTGTTGAATGGGAGAAGCCCTGTGGCAAATCCATATATACTTCTTCCTCCAAATCACCTTGTAAGAAGGTATTTTACATGTCCATTTGGTGCAAGACCCAACCTTTTGCAGTTGCAATAGCAATCACAGACCTAACACTGACATTTTTTTACCACAGGTAAAAATGTTTCCTGATTATCCAAACCCTCCTTCTGACGATACCCTTTAGCCACCAATCGAGCCTTGAACCTTTCTATATCTCCAGAAATTGTATACTTGATCTTGCAGACCCATTTGTAACCAATTGTCTTCTTGTCCGGAAGAAATGTCAAAACTTCCCTGGTGTGATTATCTTCTAAAGCTTGAATCTCTGCCTTCACGGCCTCAACCCACCTTACATCCTTAACTGCTTCATGATAGGATGTAGGTTTAGTTTTTGAAGATACTTTGGAAACATAAGCTTGGTATTTGGCTGATAGACCACCATAATGCATGACATTACTAATTGGATATAAGCAATGATGTGCTGAACTGGACCCCCTTTGAGGTCTAATGTAATCCTTGAGCCAAATGGGAGCTCTGATGGTCCTGCCAGACTTCATCAAATCACAAGAAAAAGTTATCTCATTATGTACCACAACATTATTGTCAACAACTGCTATCTATGTCTTTGAAGAAGGAAGATCAACCTCTACACTACTTGGAGTAGAAAATGAAGGATCACATGATGTGTCATGCATCTCATGCATAGGTTCACTCTTTTCTGTATTACCAGTTGCCATTGGATATGTCCCAAGAGAACTATCACCCCTGCTACTAACTGGTTATAGTATGCAGTCAGTGTTGGTTATAGAAGTTGTCTGAGGAAATGCTCTGAAATATCTCGTAACCTGTTGAAAAGGATACACATTTTCATGAAAAACTACATCCCTGCTCACAAAGATTAACCTTTGTTCAATGTTGTATAACTTGTATCCTTTTTGTGTAGGAGCATATCCTAGAAAGACTGATTTCACTGCTCGAGGACCAAACTTATCTCCCCTCACTAGATTTGTGGCAAAACATAAACATCCTAGAACTCTCATACGAGATAGAAAAGCTTGCCTGCCAAACAACACTTCAAATGGTGACTGATTGTTTAAAACAGTGAAGGGTATCCTGTTGATGAAGTATCTGCTGCTTCCACACATTCCCCCTAGAGGTCCTTCAGCTTACAGTAATACACTGACTTAGTAGATGTTCCTTTAGTCGGTGTTAAAATCTCTCTATGAATATAATACATACGCGAGGCATTCACCTTGTCAATACGCTCACACAAGTCAGCCCAGATTGCACATGCATTTGAGTGAAATAGAACACCGCTTAACAGATCGCGGCTAACATTATGCATAATTCCGGCTTTTACTATAGCAATACAATGATCCCATAGGTTAGCATACTTATCTCTATAAATATAGCGTGTAATTGCTCCATCAATAAATACGGTTTATTGCAAGTCAACAGTGAAACCTCCATAGCTTGACTCCACAATGTGTAATTTTCCATTCTAATCAATTGGAAACCCAATGACAATGCTCCAGGTATATTGGATGGATACAAATAGAGAGGATGATTGTGATCAATCACAATCGAGCTTTGATCAGTTACTTAAGCAACTGCCATTGAAGAAAATTAGAGTTTGAGCGAAAAATAGAGGTTCGATGAATTCTCGTCCTTCAACAAATTCACAGTGAAGAGTCCTAGATTCAATGGATTATTAGCTCTGATACCATGTCAATTTGATGAATTCAATCAATTATCAGTTGGATCGAGAGATTGCGTGTGAGTCGAAGACGAAGAGAAGAAGAAGCTGGAAATGAAACTTCACTGTTCCATTGAACAAAATGATATCCAACTGTACACAACTAACCGACTAATAACTATTAATAGTAAGTAATATTTAACTCAACTATAGTTACTATTATGTACCCTAGTTAACTAACTATGATTAAATAACAGACTAACTACCTCTAACTACTGCCCTGTATCAGTACACTCTTCAACAATACCGTATAAGAGATTAAAGAGGGAAGCACTCTCTACCAAAATTTCTTTCATTCTCAATGCTGAAACCAGAGACGGGGCTAGGATTTGTAACTTATGAGTTCAAAATTATAGTCTTTTTAAGTATTGGATTTTTAATAGTTTGTATATATTCAATAAATAAAACAAATACATATTTAGACCAAAGTTACTGGTTCGGCCGAATCCCCGACCGTAAGGCTAGCTCCGTTTTTGGTTAGAGAATAAAATCTTTTATTAAGGACAGAAGAATTCTATGTATCGCGCTAGAAACCTTGGTAGTTTTGTTTTCATGTGTTTGTTGTAGTAGGTGATATTCTTTTTTTTTTCTATTCAAATGGAAAAGATACCTTTAATACTAAAAGATAGCTGCAAATACTTGTTCAAATTCGTGCGCGCTGTTCTTATTTCATCACCAGAGACAAGTCAACCTATCTCCTTTAAATAAATTCAAAGATTCCAACAATCCTCTAGGCAAATAACGCCATATGTGCACTTTTTTCTGAAATCATAATCTATTCAAATTTGAAAATTGATGATAAAGACAAGAAGGTTGCTAATCTGAAGAGTGGGAATTTATGAGAAGAGATTCGTCCACTCCCCGCAGGAAGGGGAAAAAAAAAGAAGACAATATAATGATCTAAATTCGTTAACCAAATAATTGAAGTCAACTTCAAATTAATCCACGGATTACAGAGAATATAAACTAACACGATTACACGAAAACCAAATTAACTACACAAATTCAGTTTGTATTGTTACCACCATTCAGTAAGGAAAATAAAAGGGTTTAACATTTTAGGTAATTACTCCAAGGTAGTTCATGGAAATGGCACACTAACAAGTACGCTAAGGATAAGGATAAGGATATTATAATTACTTATTGGTAGTTTAAATTAACTAAGAGATAATGACAAACAGAATTGAAAAATGTTATCGTGCAACAAAATTGGAATTCTCCTTTTAAGACATTCCAAGATTCCCTCAATCCTTCTGCCAAAAACGACAAATTCCCACTTTTGCTTGACAATCATACTATATTACACTTTAAAAAGTGGACGACATAGACACGTCTGATCTACTTCGCTTCTATTATCGTATTTTCTGTTGTCATTATTTAGTACTCCCTCCGTTTCAATTTATGTGAACTTGTTTGACTGAGCACGGAGTTTAAGTAAAAAATGAAGATTTTTGGAATTTGTGGCCCTAAACAAGTCCAAATGGGGCCCAGAGAATTTGTGTGGTTATAAAAGCTTCTCATTAAGGGTAAAGTTGTA